ATCCTAACCTCTAAGTGTAAAAACACGGTTTTTCGCAATATTTGGAGTTATATTATAAAACAAAAAATTTTTTCGCTCATTTCTACTTAGGATGATACTTAGTCTTTATATGTGATATCTGCGACTATGGTTGAAGCGGTTTTGTCTATTAGATGAAAAGGATACTTATTTTAATTTTTTGAGCCTCCAAAGAGGAAACTGAACTTCGCCCCCTGTGCGACACGCCTCAACCGTCTCCAATCGGGAACAAAATTTGTATATGATATCTTCGACTATGGTACCTAGCATCAACGTAGGGGTTGAGGCTTAAGAAATCTGATGTAAAAATTTGCTTCCTACATTTAAGGACCACCCTAATGACCATTTGTATGGGCCTAGTATCATAGAAAGTAAAGCTTAGCTTACGGAACTCAGGTGATCGAAACATTTCCGTAATCTTGGAAACAAGGAAACCCATTTTGGTGTCTTTACCAATCCATACCCACTAGGGTGCCCATCGAAAATGCTTTTTTTTGGAAATTTCAACACCCTACCCTCTAATTTTATTCGTTTTTATGAGATTTAGGTCAGAAAATAGGATTTTGTAGATTTATGAGTTTTTGAATAACTATTTTTGATTCGATTTCAAAGAACGACTATGATCTGAGAAGAGGATATATAGGCCTATAAAATGGTATATAATAATCTACTGTCGGACTAGGCTTGTTGGGATTTTTTATCGGGTACCGGGCCACGCTGCGATCGGGCGCAACGCGCGCTATGTGGGACCGCTATAGGGATCTGAAGAGGGAAGCGAGACGTATTTGCCGCAATAAGAAGAGAGAGGCAGAAATACGTGAGTGCGAAGAGCTTGAAATGCTGGCCGACAGGAGGAATGCCCGAAAATTTTACCAGAGAGTTAGGCGACTTACGGAAGGTTTAAAGACCGGGGCGCACTCCTGTAACAATAACAATAATGGCGACCTAGTAACTGATGTCCAGAGCGTACTTAAATTATGGAGGGAACACTTTTCCGCCCTACTAAATGGTAGCAGCACGGAAAGTTGTGGAGAAGAAGAACCCGAGCCCGCAGTCGATGATGACGGAGTCGACGTTCCACCGCCTGACTATGACGAGGTACGTATAGCAATAACGCGGCTGAAAAACAACAAAGCCGCTGGAGCTGATAGCCTGCCAGCTGAGCTATTCAAGTACGGCGGCGAGGAGTTGATAAGGTGCATGCATCAACTCTTGTGCAGAATATGGTCAGATGAACGCATGCCCGACGACTGGAATTTAAGTGTGCTCTGCCCAATCCACAAGAAAGGTGACCCCGCCATTCGCGCCAACTACCGCGGGATCAGCCTTCTAAGCATAGGTTACAAGGTCTTATCGAGCGTATTGTGTGAAAGACTGAAGCCCACCGTCAATGAACTGATTGGGCCTTATCAGTGTGGCTTTAGACCTGGCAAATCCACCATAGACCAGATATTCACAATACGCCAAATCTTGGAAAAGACCCGCGAGAAAAGGATCGACACTCACCACCTATTTGTCGACTTTAAAGCCGCTTTTGACAGCACTAAAAGGAGTTGCCTATACGCCGCTATGTCTGAATTTGGCATCCCCTCAAAACTCATACGGCTGTGTAAAATGACGTTGAGCAATACCACCAGCTCCGTCAGAATTGGAAAAGACCTCTCCGAGCCGTTCGCCACAAAACGGGGTTTCAGACAGGGCGACTCCCTTTCATGTGACTTCTTTAATCTGATGTTGGAGAAGATAATAAGAGCTGCAGAACTGAACCGCTCAGGAACAATTTACTACAAGAGCGTGCATTTGCTGGCTTATGCCGATGACATCGACATCATCGGTAACAAAAACCGCGAAGTCTGTTCTGCCTTTTCCAAGTTGGATAGGGAAGCAAAGCGCATGGGTCTGGTGGTAAACGAGGACAAGACGAAGTATCTCCTGTCATCAAACAAACAGTCAGCACATTCGCGCCTTGGCACCCACGTCACTGTTGACAGTTACAATTTCGAGAAAGTAGAGAATTTCGTTTACTTGGGAACCAGCATTAACACCGATAATAATGTCAGCATTGAAATCCAACGTAGAATCACTCTTGCCAACAAGTGCTACTTTGGACTGAGTAGGCAATTCAGGAGTAAAGTCCTCTCTCGACGTACGAAAACCACGCTCTATAAGTCACTCATCATGCCCGTCCTGGTATATGGCGCAGAAGCATGGACAATGACAACATCCGATGAGGCGGCTCTTGGGGTGTTTGAGAGAGAGATTTTGCGGAAGATTTACGGTCCTTTACGCGTTGGCGACGGCGAGTACCGCAGACGATGGAACGATGAGCTGTATGAGCTTTACAACGATATGGACATAGTGCAGCGAATTAAAATACAGCGGCTCCGCTGGCTTGGTCATGTCGTTCGAATGGACACCGACGCTCCAGCTCTGAAAGTATTCAACTCGGAACCCGCTGGTGGTAGCAGAGGAAGAGGGAGACCCCCACTGCGATGGAAAGATCAGGTGGAGAAGGACTTGTCTTCACTTGGCGTTTCCAATTGGCGTCAGTTGGCACAGAGGAGAAACGACTGGCGTGCTTTGCTGAACTCGGCCAAAATCGCTTAGGCGGTTACAGCGCCAAAAAAGAAGAAGAAGAAGAAGAAATAGAAAAAAGACCCATATTTCTCTTAATTTTTTTTTAAATTCGACCACCGATAATTTCTACAATCTAAAATAAAATGTATTTTCAAATAAACTGATACCTCATTTATTGCAATCGCATAAAATTGTCGAATTTAGGTGATTTTTCTTAAATACGGCCTTGAATTTATATGAGTGTATGTACCGGAATTTCAGATTTTTTGCGCAGTGTGGCAAAGGACTTCATCAATATTTATTCAAAATTAATATATATAATCGCTCTTTAGCAAAAAAGTGGGTTTTCAAGAAATTTTAGGAAAATGGGTGTGGCACCACCCACTTCTATGATATAGGCGTATCTCAAAAACTACTTGACCGATCTCGACCAAATTTGGTATACACGTTGTGTCCGATTTCAAAAAATTTCAATATGGCACTTAAGGAGCCTAGGCGCAATGTGTTCACCAAATGTTGACATTGATCAAGTAGGTTTTGAGATACACATATATGACATAAGGGGGCGGTGCCAACCCCATTTTCCTAAAAATTCTTGAAAACCAGTTTTTAATAAATATTGATGAATTCCTCAGCCGCTCTGCTCAAAAAATCTGAAACTCCGGTACATATACACAAAAGTCGCCTAACTTCGACAATTTCTATGCGTTTGCAATAAATGAGCTATCAGTATTATTTGAAAATAGATTTAATTTTGGATAGTGTCACATATTTTGAAATTGTGGAACTTATCGATGGCCAAAATTCATATAATTAAGAGAAATATGTGTTTTTGTTTTTACCCGATAAAAAATTCCAACAAGCCAAGTCCGCAAATATATTATTATACACCATTTTAAAGGCCTATATGTCCTCTTCTCAGATCATATTTGATCTTTGAAATCGAATCAAAGATAGTAATTTAAGAACTCATAAATCTACAAAATCGTATTTTCTAACCTAAATCGACAGGGCGCGACCTCTAAATTTATTTATTTAGAGTGTAGGGTCTTGAAATTAAAAAAAAAAAAAACATTTTCGATGGGCACCCTAATACCCACATGTTGCCAAAACCCACAAATTTCTTCTCGCTGATGAAGATGCAGGTAACAGGAGGGAAAAGAAAAATTTTGTTCTCGCTCCAACCCAGCAAAAAAAATTACCTCACTTTTTGCAATGGTATCGGTAGGTCACGGTCAGTATTTACTGACGTGATCCAAGTAGCGCGATATTTATTGACTGTGTAGCATGCAATATTGATGGATCTTGATCCATATCGCAAAATTTCCACAAATTTGGAAATCTGGATCGCGGATCGCAATAAATATTGAAGGTTTAGCTTTTACAAAACGTGATTCATATATTTCGTCAATACATCTTGTACTCTCATAATGTGAAAATCGAAAACATATTCGCTCTACCTTCGCTCTCGGCGCTTAAAACCTTTCAAAACAAATTGAAAGTATTTAAATTAGCATTGGAAATTTGAAAATATATATGAAATGCGTTATCTGTCAACTATTCGTATAAAATAATTGCGATATAATAAGCGTTCAGCACAAAAATTATGCAAATACTTAACATGGAGCATTCAAGCGCGATCCATCAATCCGTCAATATGGATCGCGATCCAAATATCGCGATAATTACTGACCGTGTGACAGAGCCCCAAAAGTTTCGCTGTTATTAACGCGGTATTGTTGTTAACATCATAAATTCTTCAGAGTTAAACATTGTACAGCTTAATGTTAATACCCACATACATATGTGTGTACATTAAGGTGGCCCAAAAATGCATGTGAAAAAGTAAAGTCGGAATTTGTATGCCTCACCCCCTTGGATTGTTATATACCGAAAAAAATATACCCAATTTTTTTTATTTTGAAATCAAAATATTTTTAGAGGTCGCTCAAAGCGCGCAAAGTTTTCCATGTTTTTTATATGGTGGCTAAACGAGTTTTCGTAGAAATGGTATAGAATTCTTAAAAATCAATACTTTTCCATCTGAAAACTATGTTTATCTGCAGGAGATTCCCCATTGTTTATTTAACAATTTTTTCATCGCACCTATAATTTATAGGTCCGCCAATAACCCACAAAAACCCCGAAAAATGCAATGGGGAGACCAATAAAAAATCGTTAGTATTAAAAAATGGTTAAATAAGCAATTGGGTGTTATTACTGAAAGTCTCCTGATGATAACCAGAGTTTTCCGGTCGAAAAATATTGATTTTCAAGAACTCGACACCATTTCTACGAAAAATTGTTTTTTCTTTGAGCGCTTTGAGCGACCTCCAAATATTTTTTTGATTTCAAAATATAAACTTAGGGGTATACTTTTTTTCTATATAGAACAATCGTAGGGGGTTAGGGCATTACAATTCCGACTTTACTGTTTTTGCACCACCCTAATGTGCATGCATGCTTTCGTGGGATCGTTGTATTACATGGAAATAGAAAAGTGTATATGTACGAATGCAGACTCGAAGACGAAGAATTTAAATACGAATATCTATGTGTGATTACGAGTTAGAATACGGGCACGAGTTGGTACTGGAAGTACTTAGTTGTGATAAATTTCGTAATGCGACCATTCCATTGGTATTTTTGTTTCACATCAAAGCCTCGTGTGAGTTATATAAATATGCATACATATTTACCTATACATATGTACGTATAGTACTTGCATTTGTTTGAATTTAATTGACAGATTCTCGCAGGGTTTGTTGCGTATCGTACAACCCTATTTCACCCATTGTTGATGTGGCGTAGTCATGCATGAACTGCCACTTCGTAACTCGCTGTTTACGCTCCCATTTTGCTCCAGCTCTTTTGCGTTTGCGCTGTTTACACTGTTAACATGAGCGTTCTTATTGTAGTCTATTTTGCCACCGGAATTCGATGTAACCGTCTTTACATACATATGTACATTCCTAGATCTCAATACATACATACATGAGTACACATCGTCGTTTAAAGTGCAAAACCGCGTACCGTGGTTCTACAAAACCTCGTAACTGACATTTAGGCTAAATATGGATTTGCTCACCGGAAGCTCCATTCATATCAAAATATCGATATTTAGAGATATACAGGTATATTCTGAACGTTACCGCTAATTTTGTAACCGGAAAATTTTATTACCAAAAAATGTTACCACCCACTTCTTGACACTGCAATTCTAGTTACGTTGGTAATTCAGTCAAAATATAAAGCAATTCAGCTATGAAGATTTGTGAAAATTCTGAAATTGCACATTTCACAAGAGTCCACAGTATGCGAAAAGGATTTAAAAATTGTTTGGAACTTTATTTATCGGTTAAAAAATTTTTGTTACCAGCGCAGAATAGTCCTGATAAGGAAGAGATAAAAGAGAGAACCGTTTTGAAATAAGACAGCTCTTACTCTTTACGAGGTTTCGCATTATCTTGATACGCGGTTTTGTACTTTAAACGGCAATATGTATGTACATATGTATATTGTATGTAAATGGTCGCATTAGTTTCCGAATTCACTCTTCCCATTCATTTTCAGATTCGTTTCTAGAGCACTTCTCAGACCCCTTCGCAGAGACCCATATGTGCTGCTATCATTGTCATTGGTATGCCGCTGTTGCTTCGTTGCTGCTACACGAGCATTTCGAATATGAAACTTCCATTTCTCATTTCGAGTTCATCACTGTTTTTCGTTGTTTTTGCTGCTGCTTCTGCGGCTGATATTATGTTGCATTGCTCTTGCAACTTTCTCGCAACGCACTGCACATAATGAGCACTCGGGCCTGTTGTCCGCTTGGGCATTTACCTTACAGACACTCACCGAGCAGACTGTGGATGTTGCTATGACTGTAGCTGTGACTGCAGCTGACTGACTAACTGCTTGATTAGATGACTGCTTCGCTGGTTTGGCTTGACTTGTACACTGTGGCTGGCTGTGTCGGATATCGGAAAATCCGCTGCGACCGGCTCGTGCCAGTACTCAATTGACAACCAAACAGCTCACGACTGAAACGCGGGCGGTTGCAGCTATTGAATGCGATTATTGAGTCATACGAGTATTCACGGCAACAACGAGCACGATTACGGTTATTATAGTGATAGCGTCGAAGACGATGACTACCAACTAACGAAAAAACGAATGTAAATTTAATTAATGAAATCAAAACAAGAATAGCAAAGAACAGGCAAAATGTTTTTTTAAACTCACAAAGCTATGAGGCATCGGTTTCGTTGGCTCCGTTGATGATGATGATAACTGCAACGGCATCGCATCGATGAAATGTTAATACCTACGTCATTGTAGTATGTAAGGTGCAAATCGCAAAGTAGCCAAATTGCAAACTGACTAACGGCGACTAATGTGTTGTTCGAGGAGACGGCAGCAGCAACAGCGGAAGCATCAAAGTTTTGCAGTGCAACAGCGCTGATAGATAAAAGCAATTCTGATTTAATTTAATAAATGTGTGCTGTGGTAAAAATTGCAATAAAATTAAAAAATAAATAAATAAATGAAGTAAATAAGTACACACATGCATAGATATTTTTAGAGAAACTAAGTACAAAACTTGTCCACTGTGAAAACTTTAAACAGTGGAAACAATCTATAATTTTTACTGATCTGTGCATATATATGAACTCGCGGTAACCAGGAAGCAAAAGTGGCTAGCTGAAAAAAATTAAACTATACTTATTTATTTGTATGCACATACGCGCATATGGAAATACAGTACATGTAGTATGTATGTATATATGTATGAAAATGCTTGTTGAAAATAAATTAAAACAATAATATATTTAAATATAAAAATACATACATACATACATATGTACGTACATATACAGTTGTTAATGCATATATGTATAAAAATGGAAATGATAACAGTGAACTCAACTTTTTTCCAAAATTAGGGCCTATAGATATGGATTTCAAGCAACTCTTAAATAATTTGTCATAAATATTGCATGTTCTGATATTGCAAAAATCTGCTTTCAGGGAATCTTAATATACATACATACATATCCCACGTTTAATAATATATAGAAAAAATATTTCAAAATTTCAATTTTGTGGGAAAACTCAATCAAAGTTTGATCAATTCATACAATTGGTATACCAAAAGTTAGACGGAAAGACACGTATATTCGCCATTTTTGGGAAGTTTGTCTTCTGTTAGGCTTAGCATATTCTCCTTAACAAGCTTATTAAGTAATGGTATGTTGAAATCTTCAAAAACGTAAATGTTGAATTACATCTCTACATTATTAAACGTGCGATATGTACATACGCTTATGGCCAGCTGATTAGTTCAAGTGCCATTTTGACTAGTTTTGGCTATTTTTATTTTGTTTATTTTAATGTTTATATTTTTTATATAAAAGTTTAGCACTAGGGATGTTAATTTTTCGGCTTTTTCCGATCGCGAGATTTTCCGGGTGGCGTTGTCACAATCCCGGGATCCCGGGATTTAGATATTCATTACTTTTCAACAACTTGAATCGAAAAAATTCATTCTATATTGTTTGAGAAGCTCTCCTATAATGAAATAAATAATAAATAAATGGGTTTCAAACCTACTTTTTTATTTAAAATGGCGTTTTTATTTTTTCTCTCTGACCGCAGTATTTATTTTGAAGGACTCTGTAATTTCAAAGATATGATTAATTCCAAAAATTATTAAAAAAAATTCAATGCAATGTAGAATAAAAATATGGGTAGCAAATGCAAAGGAAATTTCTTCAGAATTTAAAAAATTTAAATTTTTTGGATTCACAAGGACGAATAGGTAATTTTTAAGCTGATAAAGTTAGAAGAACGAAATTCGAGGATGTTTTCGAGTTTATATAAGCCCTTAACATATGATTTTTTCAAAAACAAATATTGCGAAATTTCAAGGATAAAATTTTAAAATGACATTTTCAATATTTACCAGCCCTTCTGCACCAGAAACTTGAGTCTCTTTTAAATTCTACAGGATTTCGTCATTAATTTTATGCCCATACTTCTTCTCTAAGCACATTTCTCTGAATTTTTTAAATCATTTTTGAATTAGTTGACGTCAGAGTGAAAAACTAAAAACGCAATTTTACTATATTTGGCCTATGATTTTGCGAATATATTGATATTTGTGTTTAAAATTTACTAATTATTAAATAAAAAAAAAGAAATATAGCCAATACTGGTCAAGAAACGGAGTTTCTATTCTTGCCAGCAGTGCAAATTACAAATCCCGAAACTCCCGGGATTACTTGCCAAGGATCCCGGGATTTTCGATACCTTAAAAAGTCCGGGATCCCGGGACTAACATTCCTATTTAGCACTTAACCAGCTCCACTTAAATCCGCATTTCAAAATTTGTAAAAAAATGTATAAAAATTCAACAAACTTTAACATTTGCACTCAAAAATTTTAAACTTTTTATCTAGAATTTTTAGAAAAATTTTGGGTATGCAGTTTTGTAGCTCATTAAATTTTAGTAGGTGAAGTGTATATTTCAAGACACTAGAAAACGCGTTGATTTTTAATATTTTTTTTTTTGCTGATGGTGCTAGGCATTTTCCCCCATACATACGAAATTGGCCAGCATATTTTATATGGAAGAAAATGCATAACACCGTCAGCCAAGAAAATTTTCTGAATAAAAAATTTAAAATTTTCGGGTGCATATGTTAAAGTTTGTTGAATTTTCATAATTTTTGTACGAAGTTTGAAATGTGGATTTATGTGGTGCTAGTTAGGTAAAGTGCTAGACTTTTATAAAAAAAAAAATATAAACATTTATTAAACAAAAGAAAAATAGCCAAAACTAGTCAAAATGTCACTTGACTTCATCAGCGGCCGCAAGGGTATGTACATATGTACATACATATGTATATATGTAAATGCCATACAAGTGCATAAAAAAAGATTAAAATGTTAAGCAGTATACCCCAGGATTTTTCTAAATAGAATAAAAATAACCGTTTTTTTTTGTTAAAATGTTATTAAATAATGTTTGGAACTGCCCAAAGCCCATGAAGTTTCCATGTACATATTATTTTAATTTAATTTAATTTAATTTATTGACGCTCACACAATATGTCGGTTTTCGCCGAGCTTCTCGTCCGATTTGTGGCCTTTTTTTATTTTTTGATGTTGGTCGGAAACTGGATTGAACCCAGGCCCAGCGCACAGTGGTTCAAAACTGACATTTACTGTTCATAATTAATTTTTCAACCAGTTTGATAACTTTTTTTTTAATGAAAGCTTGTGAAATTAGTTACAGTTGAGCCCGATTTTTCAATTTTTATTGGTTTATATTCAACTTTTTAGTACAAAGTGCAGAAAAAGTAGCAATTGTGAAGAAAATCGATCCTCCTGTTCCAGTTAAAACTGTTACATAACAAAAACAATTGTAGGGTTCCCAGA